GAGAAAGAGAGAGCGAGAAAGAGAGAGAGAGAGAGAGAACTATTGAATAAGTTACACTTGTCGTTCATTTCCTTTCCTAACATTCCTTAATTGTAACACGCGAAAATTGGCATGGCATAGCAACTCACTTGGATTTGGACTGCATTTCTCCTGCAGCTGAAGCTGCATCTCTACGGTGCAACCGCATACTGACCCTTCGTTCTTGGCCACCTGCACCCGATGCTGAAAGAGAGCATCAGTAAAACATAATGCATGAAAAAACCATAATGAAAACGGCCGCTTTTCTACTTGTATCGAACATGTTTCATCCGTTCAAACATTCGCACAAATAATAAATTCACTTGCATCATCACTGCACAAAAGAAAAAACTAATGATATCGATAGAAGAGAAAAAGAAAAATCGGAAGAAAAAACAAACAAACAAACTAACTAACAAAAATGAGAAGAATAATTAAAAATAATGGACAAAAAAATTCTAATAAGAATCATCTCTTGGTCTCGTTTTGTAAATAGAAAAAAATCAAACGACTTTTTAATAATTCATAGAAGCAATCAATGGATCTTGATAAATGTCGTTGATGAAAAGAAGAAGAAAAAAAAGAATAGAAAAAAAAAAAGAAAGAAGATAAACACAAGCTCTCACAATAATTCAAATATGCCCCTATAATATAGAAAGTTGTATTTAAAATCAATAAAAAGAAAGTAATCAGACGTGCAATAATATCATAAGGAAGTAAATAGATTAAACAACAAACGGAAAACAACAGAAAGAAAGAGAGAGAAAGAGAGAGAATACACTCGTTATACATTGCACAAAAGCACAAATCTTAAAATTAATATAAGTTATAAACGTCTGTATATAGTGTATATATATATATATACATATACCCACCGTAAATCGGCTTATGTATTTACATTTGTATATATATATGTGATTAATTTTAACTAACGACAAAATTTCTATTTGATGAAAAAAAATCATCGTAATATAATATTATTAATTTCGTTTAGAATTTTTTTGTTTTGCTTAACTTTTTCCTTTTTGTTTGTTTTTTTTTATCCAAATCATTGCAACAATCGTAACTTTGAAATACGGAAACTTAAGAACATTACAATATTCGTCATAGGATACTTATAATCATCGGGTTGATGAATATTAAGAAACTAAATTCGAAAGAGACCTAATGAAAAACGTAGAAATTTAAAATAAATTAAATCTGTATATATATATATATATTTTTTTTTATCCCTTATAGTGCCGAACAATATTAATATTATTTTTATCAATATTAAAATGATACTATGTGTTTTAAATCAAACTACGTACAAATGACGTTATTTATTGTCAATTAATATTTCAAATCATTTCGAATAAACATTATTAAAGCATGATTTTCAATCAATATGGAGAAATACGTTTAACATTAATATATTTTCCTTTTATTCCTCGATATGTTTCTATTAAAATTTGATAATAATCATTTCGTACGCTTTCTTATTTCAAGCTTTATCTAATATTATCAAATATGAAAGTTGACTCGACATTTTTTAGCACTAAAAGAAATACATATATATATATACTTCTTTTTATTAACGTTACATTGTAATAACGTTACATATATATATACATAACAAATAGCCATCAACCAGACGATGGAAGGACGATGGACGATCTTTCACGCTTGGCAATTGAAATGGAAAATTCAAGATTCAATCAGAAAAATAGAAAGAAATAAACATAGATTCACAAAATAATAACGTATGATAGAATTATTCGCGAGAATAAAAACAAAACAAAATGAAAGAAATGAAAATGACGAATAGAGATAGATGACGCAGTAAAAAGTTATAGGTATTAATCTATACGTGTGTATGTTCAAAACTTTTCTCTCTTTCTCTCTTTTTCTTTCTCTCTCTCTCTCTCTCTTTCTCTTTCTTTCTCTCTTTCATATGCCAATCGATTGGAACGTTTAGAAAAATATTGTTATATTGTTAATATATATGTATATTATCTTTTTACTATTGTTTCTCACGCGCGCTCTATTGGGTTTTTCCATTCAAGCCAAGTGAGAAGAAATTTTGACAAGGATGATCGACGATGTCGTATGGTGAAATAAATAAACAAAGACCAGTCCTTGAATGGAAAAACATTTATTTACTACTTTCTCATCATAATCATTCATCATCATTATCATCATCATCATCATCATATTTATCATCACTACCATCATCTTCATCATCATCATTATCATCATTCTTCATCATCATTATCATCATCATCATCATCATATTTATCATCACTACCATCATCTTCATCATCATCATTATCATCATTCTTCATCATCATTATCATCATCATCAACATCATCATTACCATCAGCAAAATTCAGGACGATTACAAATATATAAACACGCGATTCCTTAAACGAGAGAGAAAAGGGAAAAGCAGGCGACAACAAAACTTAATAACGATGTCTTCGAGAATATATAATGACACAAATGGAAGTCGAAAACAAAATGAAAATTTAAATAAGAACAAAAGATAACAAGAAAAAAGAAAAAAAAAGAGAGAAAGACAGAAAGAAAGAAAGAATTAACACTTGCTTAATAACTCTCTTACAATATTCTATAATCAATATAAACTTCGTAAACAAAAATCACTTAATTACGAGGAAGCTACAAAACTTTAACAATTTTCTCGCAAAATTGCTATAAAAGCAAAGGAAACACTATTTGTAATTGCCCGTTAAACTTTGGTGCCTTTCACTAATTTTTGTCTTTCTTGACACATTGTCTTTCCTTTCTTTTTTTTATTTTTTTTTTTGGTTGGTTAATTCTTACGTTGTTACATAAAAATTACCTTTTTGTTCTTTTTTCCTTTTTTTTTTTGTTCTTTTTTCTTTTTCTTTTGCATAATACAAAATCTTCAATTACGTAAATATGATACAAAAAGACGTATTTGGGGAAATGAAAAATCGATGCAATTCACCAAAGAAACGACGCGATTTCTAAAAAGACTTGTTAATTAAATAACATGAAAACCATATAAAACAAAATCTAATAATTGAACTAGAATTCTAATGAAAAACGCATTATGAAACTTGTGGTAAGAACACTGAAATCACGTTACAATCCTTGCAATATATCATCGTCAGTAGCAGTAGCATCATCATTATCATTTCATTATCATCATCATCATAATCATCATCACCATCATAATCATCATCATCATAATCATAATCATAATCATAATCATCATCATCATCACCATAAATAATCAACGTTATCAACGATTAAAAACATACCATATTTTACAATTATTAGCAGTTTATCAAGTGTACAAGTGAGTATATAATATTTATATATACATATATAGTCCATATATGTATATATATAGATATATACGTTAATGTTGTTTTTTAAATGTATATATGTATGCATTTACGCATAATATGTAAATATTTTATGAATGATACGCGTGTGCGTTGCATATAAACTAATCGCATGATCATTTCTGGTCTAGTTATTGTAATGTTATCTTTGTATATTTATGATGTATATATATATATATATATATATATATATATATGAGAGAAATAGATATTAAAAATATAAAACCGATGAAACGCGCGTTATTGATTATTTATAAAACGCACTTATATATGTATGTATTTACATAAATCTCGAGGAAATGCCTAGAGTCATATTTTCTCAGAGAATATATGCATGTATATATACGATTATTAATTTAGGACTAATGGGGAACACAAGCTTTTACATAACTCAATCGCTTATACTACATCTATATCGAAACAACTTAATTTCACTCTCGGAGCTGTACGCGAATTATTATAGCGATAATGAATATGCGCTATTATTATCTTTCTCACTCTTTGAAAATAAATTTCGTTATACGTTTAGTGTTGTTATTAAACTGTGAAAGATAATTTAGCTAAAGAAATAAATTACATATATATATATATATAGACGTATATATATATATATATATATATACATAAAAAGTATGTAAAGAAAATGATTTAAGCCGTAACACGTTTACAACATTTTGTTTCTAAGCTGCGCAAGATATCGAAGAAAAATTTAAAAATCATTCTATATTAAAAAAGGCTCATTTCGTTTATAAAATAATAATATAGGCAGTTTGTCAGCTGGATCATGTGTTTTTGTGTGTACCTGGTCTTTGTATAAACAAAAAAAAAAATTAAAAAGAAAACTATACAATGACTCAAAGTTAAGTCTACACGTATTCGCATTTTTTTTTACTAACAAATGAAATTACCTGTGAACACATGGAAGGAACAAATCAACGGGATTTTAATCACACTCTGTGTATATGTATATATATAACACAATAATAATTACGAACTTACGATATTTTATGAGAGTTTTGTATGATAAGTTATCATTGATAACATATTATAAAAAAAAAAAATTAGTAAGTTCGTATCAGTCTATAGCGTTCATTCAGTCAATTGGAACGTATAAAAAAAAAAAAAGAAAATTAAATTAGAATATCGACTAATAATTAAATAAGTAATGTAAAACTGGGAAGTGTTTTCTATTTAAAAAAAATCGACTAATAATCAAATAACTAATATAAACCCAAAAACTTTCGCGAAAGAACACAAATAAAAAATTTTCTTAACTACTGAGAAGTAGTAGTCTCTCTCTTTCTCTCTCTCATTTAGTTCTTATATATTCTATAATAATTCCGATTAAAATAATATTTGGTTAAAATAAAAAATAAAAAAAAAAAAAAAAAAGAATAATCAAAAATAAAAGTTTCATTCGAAAAAGATGAAATTAGTGTCGCGAAACAAAGCTTTCGTTTATAAATATCCGATTAAATATTTCGATTATTCTAAAAATATTCTTGTTTTTTTTTTTGTCTTTTTATATTCGCAGTTTTACACTTATGGGCCTTTATAGAATAATATATTTATATATACACGTATATATTAATTTCATATACGTAATTTCTTAAAATAAGTATGTATATTAATTATACGATCATATTTATGTAAACTAGCATACTAAAATGTTAAAATGTAAAAACGTTAAAAACCTAAAGAACAAACGGAAAAAAAGACTAAGGAAATAAACTACTTGTTTTGTTTTTTTGTTTGATAGATTGTTTGTTTGCTAGCTTACTAAAGTGATCAGAAAATGAAAGTGAAATTCTCGATCATCCTCGAGATCACTGTTAAGGCAAATAGTATAGTAACAATTCCGTGACGACAAAGTACAAAGATAATCCAATCTGATATACATGCTTGTACACACGTTATATATGTATATGCATATTTAAAAAAGGCATCTGTATGGATGGGACGTCACAACTCGATCTAACAACCGGTTTTCTTCTGCTAAGTGCAGTTTAAGGCAACTCGTTTGTTCAAAAAATAAGGATCCATACAACAGTATATTCTTATTAGTAGAAGTAAACTATATAAGAGTTCGAGAATATATGTATGTATATGATTCGACAGTATATAGGACGAGATGTTACCCAAATAGCTCGTAAGGAGATAGTAACACACGAAATTCACTATAATATATAAATATATATCATGGAACCAACTCCAAAATGAGAAATTTTTCTCAAAGTTTACATAAAAAAATATCGACAATCGTCGCTCGGTTCGTGATGTCAGAGGTGGCCATAAGTTAACATAATTAAGAAATAATATACGTATGTAAATTATATATATATATAAAAAAACAATGATATATTTCTCATATGCAAATGCAAACGAATATATCGAGTAAAATACCCTTGATTATATCAAAATTACCCTGTGGCTTTCTATGACCTAAAGAATCGCTCAAATTTGTACCATGACTGAGACAATCTATATCACCTCTCGTAAGCCAATCCAAATAATGATCTCTTTTTTCTAGATCAGCTATTTCTGAAGAACGTACTACATCCGAACGACCCACGTTTTGTAAAGTTTGCAAATACAATCTACCGATTTGACTTATCGAATAGCCAATTTCCAAGCTATCCTTATTACCACTCAAAGTTTCTTGAGTATTGATACTTGCAACAGGATTTAATAATCTACTGCTTTGAGTTGGTTCAGTATTGGACGAATGATCCTCTATATTAGTGGAAATATGATTTCCATTGAATTCATCAATCTGAGTTGTTTCACCACCTCCTCCTTCTTCTTCTTCTTCTTTGTTAAGAATGGCAAGAGAATCGGTTTGAAATAAATTATTTGAATTTTCCGTGATAAGGAACGTCTTAGTTTGAGCGTTAACGTTGTTATCATCACGCTTAGAGAAAAAACCGAGATTCGATTTAACGGGAGCACGACGGGTCAGGTTATATTGAGTAGTGGTAGTATTATTAGTATCCTCAAAAAAAGCTACGTCTTTCTGGTGGCGCTTTAAAAAATATTCACATTTTTCTTGATCCGTTTGTAATAATTCACTGATCGGTTCCTCCTGCTGTTTTAGGAGATCCTGGCACTTCTCGCGCTCCCTGGGTAAAAAATGCAAGCTCCTACCGACTCTTTGAAAGAAATTAGGTCTCTTTCGTGTTTTATTTACCGACGAGGTAGACGATTTCTTTGATTTTTGCGACGAGTCGAGACTCCTTTGTTTACCATGGAAAAATAACTTTGGACTTTCTTCCGGCAGAAGATCTAAGCTTTTGACATCTACACCTGGTAAATCGACGCTTCTTTCCAACGACTCGAGACTTCTATAAGTTTTTTCTTTATTGTGAAAAGAAAAGTTTCTCCTTCTGCCGGAGGAAGTATCTTGTAACATTTCGCTGCTACTTTTCTTAAAAATTTCACCCTCTCTTTCTAAAAATTCGACGTTCTCCGAATCACGGCGCAATTCGTAAGCCATAGTGAGACGTTTAACACCAACGGCAGGTGTACCCTTGCCTTTCTTATCTTCGTCCAATCCACCAAAGCAATTCATTGAACTACTAGATGCAGCACCACCTTCCTCTGTATTATGAACTCTACGATCTACGGAAATACAATTCCTCAGATCCTCGAACATCACGACCTGACGATCTACGTCTTTCTTAGTTTTATGCCCATGAAAAAAATAACTCTGTTTATCGACGTGAGTCGACGCACTGCTGGGGTTCCTCTCGCGCAGACTATTCACTGGCTGATAGTACTCGCGTAACGTCGAATTAATGTCGCTTTGATTAGGACCAAGCTCGTGATGTCCCAGATTAAGGTTGGCTAAATCCAAAGATGTAATCTCCGGCGCTGCCCTACCCGGTGACGACTTAAATGTACTGAATTGACACGGATTAACAACACGTGATGCATCGTTACCGGCGGCCTGCGAATGGCCGACCACTAATTGACTCTTTCGTTCGGCAGTAACCTGTTGCTGGATCGAACAGAATTGTTGGTAGAATTGTATTTTACCTTGCAGATCGCTCTTGTCCTGATTGTCCTGGTCACCATGAGCATCCAACGCTTCGCGGCGCTTTTGCCGTATGATTCTCAGATTCGATGACGTTCCTCCTACTGTTGGACCCATCGCTGCAACAGACGCGTTTGCCAGACACTGACGAGTGTACGGCCTGAAAAACAAAAACAAACGATCGAGAAAAATATTATGACTGATTCATATTTTATAAATATTATCGTTGGATCATTTTACTAACCTTGATCTATGTTCCTGTTCGTTATTAGTTCCAGATGGCAGTGCTGAATTTGTTGGTTGAGAGTGCATAGGTCCCTGTTGTACCGAAGGCAACGTTGGTTGTCTGGTATTGCCAAATTTCAACATATTCCAATCGAAGACATAATCGTATGTGAAGCCCTGACCATGGAATAGTGTCCGGAAGAGTTGCCGAAGATACGAATAATCAGGCCTTTCCTCAAATCTTAGTCCCCGGCAGTACTTCAAATAGGATGCAAATTCGACTGTGAATGAGACAGAAATGATGTATACGTGTATGAATTAAATAATAAAAAGAAAATAATGAAAAATATATGAATAAAACATTTACTAGGATAACCCTTGCACAATTCTTCGATGGGAGTCGACATCTTTTTTTCCGAAATACGTTCGTACTTTTGTCTTTTTGTAGCTGCTTTTAAACCTTGCCACGGTAAACTACCTCTGTTGAAATACATAAGAACATATCCTAGAGATTCAAGATCGTCTCGCCGCGATTGTTCAATTCCCAAATGTGTGTTTATACTCGCATATCTGTTATCATAGAAGTAAACAACTTTTAATAATCATATAATAATAAATAGAAAATATACGTGTGTATACAGAAATTTAGAAATCTCAATAACAAACCTGGCTGTTCCAGTTAAATTTTTGTTTTCTCGATAAGGTATATGTTTGTGTGTGCGACCGTCACGATACTTTTTTGCTAAACCAAAATCTATAATATATACGAGATTTCCTTTTTTTCCTAGACCCATCAAAAAATTATCTGGCTTGATATCTCGATGGATGAAACTTCGACTGTGGATATAATCTGTTCTACTTATCTAATGAAAAACAAATAAAAAAAAAAAAGAAAACAGTTTATATTATTGTCATATTAATTTGTAAATATTTATATATATATATATATATATATAATCGTCTTATATTACATTTAATATTAACTATTTTTATGAACTTTGTCCTTTAATATCATATAATATAGTAAAACAATATAAGAGGAATAAAGATGGTAAATCAACCGTTCCATTAATAAAAAAAAAAAAGAAAAACTTATCTGTCTAGAGGTTTATCTCCTAAGAGAGCAAAGACCTCTGTGTTAATAGAATTGCTACTTGTATTGTGTAATCAAAATATTAACAGAAGCCTCGTATCATAAGAGAAATAAATATTTAATTAATTAGTTAATTTATTTTAAGAATGAACATGTGTAAACAATAAGTTTTAAATATTACAAAGTCATTCTTATACAATTAGTAAGAATAAGTTTTTCGGTTTGTAATCTAAGATATTTGAGCTTACCAATTGATCCGCAAGAAGTAACACAGTCTTTAAAGTAAATCGCCGGGAACAAAAATTAAATAAATCCTCCAACGATGGGCCAAGTAATTCCATAACCATTACATTATAGTCACCTTCTGAGCCGCACCATTTTATTGTAGGTATACCAACTAGAAATATCATAATTAATGTCTATAACCATTCGCACATACGACAAAGTAAAAATATATTTAATGCTAGAATATATAAAAACTATTGAAAAGATTTAAGAGAAGTATTTCTAATCGCTACAAGATAATGTAAGAAAATTAAATTATTTTATGATTATCATTATACGCTTTAACAAATATATATCTACATATTAGATATATAACACATCACAAACTCATTAAAATCCTATTAATGATTAAGAACAAATATATACGATGTTAAAGAATAATACAAGTATATTATTATCAAAGCAATATAGGTTTTATAAAGTTGACACAAAGAAAATGGAGGGGGAAAGGAAAGGAAAGGAAAGGAAAAGAGTATACTGAGTAGTAGAGGGGAGAGAAGGTTCACTGGCCAGAACGACCAGCTGTCCAACGCAAAGTCCTGACAGCTCTAACATCATACACATCTTAATAAAATCATTTTGCCATGATATATGTAATATAAACGACTAGGAAAAAAAGACCGACTCACCTCCTCCTTGCATCATTTTATAGAATTTAGATTCTATATGAAGTTGGGGATGCCGTGTTTTTATACATTCCAGTTTGATGGCGACTTCTTCGCCAGTTGAAATGTTGGTACCTAAGAATGAAAAAGGCAAAAGCATGTTCATACGGGAGGTCTAGCATGATTGTATGTATATGCATGTGTGTGTACGTGAACGCGCGCGCAGTCACGAACGCATATTCGTAGGAAAAACGTGCGTAGAGAGGGTGGAACGTCTGGTAAAGGCGACAGAGGTCGAGGGGAAAGGGTGTTGATGGAGGAAGGTGGGTGCACTGCCGAGGGCGGCGACAGAGGAAGAAGAGAACGAGGAAAAGAAGAAGGAGAAAGGGAGGAGGAGGAGGAGGAGGTGGGGTAAAAGAAGGCGAGCGAGAGGTTGAGGGAGGGTGAAGAGAAGAGAAGAGAAGAGAGGAGAGGAGAGGGAAGGAAAGAGAGAGAAAGAAAGAAAGAAAGAAAGAGTTAGTTAGAGATAGCAAGAAGGAGAGCGGGCGGTCTGGGGGGGGGGGGGGGGAAGCGGACTCAGAGTGCGAAGAGAAAGGAGCGGGGAGCGAGCGATGTACACGTTCGAATGAAAAGCAAGGGAAAACAACTTCTCTAACTTACCCAGATAAATATCCCCGAAGGAGCCGCTCCCGATTTTCCGTCCTAACCGGTACTTATTTCCAACGCGGAGCTCCATTCTCCAGCTTGACGAGGCTCAAGAAAAAAGAAACTACGAAGAGATAGAAGACGTAGAGACGTCGTAGAGTGAAAAGATGATAATGATAATAATAAAGTAAGGGAAGGAAAGTCGAGCAGTACGAAGGAGAAATAAGTAGAGTGGTATAGTAATAAGTAGTAGTGTAGCAGCAGCAGCAGCAGCAGCAATAGCAGTAAGCAGCAACAGCAACAGACTCGATAGTTCGCCGCGACGGTACACGTGCGCGCACGGCGGATGGTTATGCAGACACAGAAAGGAAAAGGTCCACAAACGCGTTTAGAGGGCCGGCCGAGCCTCCATATTTGATCGTACCGCCGCTCACGGACCTACGAACATTTCCTCTCCTTCTTTCTCTTCGCGTAGTAGAACAGCCAACTGCTTCACGATGCTGATGGCGACCGTACTGGTGGCGTTGCTATCGCTCCTATACTCGTTCTCCTCCTTGTTCTCGTCTTCGTCCTCCTCCACTTCCTTGTTCTCGAAATTGACGTCGTATTTCTATCAATGCTGCCACTAGCCGTTCTATTTATCCCGAATAAAAATAAATAGAAACTATTATTATATCTCTTTCCTATTCTTCTTGTTCTTTCGATTCTTTTCGTCTCTCTTGCTTTGGTTCTTGCCGTCGCCGTCGTAGTTTTCGTCTTCGACGTCGTTATTGGTGTTTTCAACGACGTCCTAGTCGTTGTCGTTGTCGACGTCGCCGTCGTCGTCGTCGTCGTCGTTCTTCTCGTTGTTGTTCTTCTTCTATTTATTATTTTTGTTAGGTTTCTTATCGATGGCGCCGCAATGATTAAATCCGTATCTACTACTGCTTTTGCTGCACTTATGTTTATTGCCGTAATAGGTTTGACGATTCTTGGCAAAAGTGAACGAGGAGGAGAAGAACGACGGCGTCGATGATAAAGAGAGAAGAATTGCCCCCCACGGGGGGGCGGTCGACAGTTCGTCGTGAAATATGGGAAACGCGAGGAACGTTTAAACGCGAAGGACGATTTAACCGTGCCGGATCTTGCGAAATTAGGCGATCCGGACGTGCAAGAACGAAACCACCAACGATACGATGTACCGCGTAAGGGCATCTGCCCTTCCGCGGAAACGACCTGCTTTGCCGAACGAATGGCGCACACGGTTTATGGCGCCGTCGAGACGTGCCCACCAGGATCGCGTGTTATGCGACTATTATAACCGACACTTCGTCCCACTCTCCCTATCTCTATCTCTATCTCTATTTCTATCTCTATCTCTTTCTCTTTCTTTCTTTCTTTCTTTCTCTTTATCTCCTTCGTCGTTTGTTAACTCACTCACCTCCCTCTCTCTCACTCTCTCTCTTTTTCTCTCTCACTGTATCGCACTGCTTTTTTTTTCACAGGGCCCCTTCTGCGTTTCTTTCTTTCTTGGCCCCGTTCTTCCTATTTTTATTTTCTTCACTCTACTCTGAAATTATTTTCGATCGATGATTCAGACGAATTACAACGCGACTTCTCTTTCATGGCTCTTCCTATGTACCGTTTCGTCAAACTCAACGACACCGCTTTTCACCCGATCGACCGTGTCGCGGCGCGTTTTTCGTTCCGTTAGAGACAGCGCAGGACAGCAACGTTATTGTCCGACAATTACCTATAGTAGACGCAAGCGCCAAGAGTGGATCGACACGCCTGTGTGACATGCTGCCACCTACCAGCTCATATCAGAACATTAACCTTCGTTCGACTGCCCTATTGGTTTTTTACAACCCGCGAAATTTCAATTTGATATATATATATGCAAATATATATTTTTGTTTTAATTGATATGCAAGTATAAAGAAAGCTTCGTTACATTCATATATTTTAGAAATAAGTATTTAATGTATAATAATAAAATATTACAAATAGAGCTATTATATCGATAAATAGGAATTTTAGGGGCAGTGTTGTCTCTCTTTCGTTTTTTAATTAATATGCAACAATTATATTATAACAAAAAATAGAAAATCGATTGGATAATTTATTTTAAAGTGCGGATTCATTAGTATGTTTTTATCTGCTTTATTAAAATAAATCGTCATACTATACAATAAGCTAGAAGACAAATTGTATGTGATACTTTATATATAATAGATAAATTGGAGGAGTTTTAGTATCACGTTTGTATATATGCGTGTATGTGGATTTTAATAAGTGAGCTTTATATAAAACTTTAAAAGTTTTTTAATTAGTGTATATGTGTGTGTGTGTATGATAATAATGTAACTACAAAATTTATCTACAAAGGCCCTGTGCAAGTAATGTTATACGTAATAAACTGTACATTTGTCTGTGGACGTATGTTTTAAGTTAATACATTGGTATATATATTTAGATCAGGCATGTAAATTTGTATATTTCGTTAGTCAAACGTTTTGGGCCAATCACGTAGATTAACGTAGTGTTGCTGCCATTCCTCAAGTCTTAAACGTTTTATGCAATGCACGTAATACGCTCGCATACAAATGTTACTTCTATTTCTTTTATTTTTTTTTTTATTTCCTTTTTCTTAAATTATTTCTAAATAATTCTTAAAACATTGTAATCTAAAAGTGGCAAATAAAAATAAATCGTCTTATACAATGACTTATATATTAAAAGATACAATGTATTAAAAAAAATATATATATATTAAAAAAAAAAGCATTAAAAGCAAAAGTATACATGTAATTCAACATTATAACATACTTGTATATAAAATAATATATAAAGTTCTATTATCTTGTTAAACGAGCGCGCTGTTATCAATAAATCGCAAATGTAATAAAATACGCCCAGTTAAGTAAAATGATCACTGGTTTTCTACATGACAATTAAATGCAAAAATAGAAGGATTGTCATTCTTTTTCAGAATAATCTATCAAGCGTTCTGCAATTTTTTAAATCTCTTGCAAGTCTTTTCCAAACAAAAGCGCATACATTGTAAACGATAGAATAATTTTCCTACAAAAATTTCTATCAATAATGAGATCAGATCAAATAAAATTCTGATATTCTCGCAAAAAATTGGTATGATTTCAAAGTTCTTCATAAAATTGACGTGTAAAAATGAATTATATCCTTTCTACAAAAATAATTCTGAAATTATTTTATTTAATCAAATAAATTGTTGTTTGGAAAGGACTTCTAACGTTTACACAAAAGAGGGAGGATTTTAAAAGTAACTTTCACAGAAAATAGAAAGAAGACTTTGTGATTGTAAGTAACATTGATAAAAAATATATTTTCAACACGCTTCATTGCTTGCGTCATGGCAATTGGTATGTCGTTTTATTTTATTTTTATCTTTTTATTTTATTTTATTTTTTTTATTTTTTATATTTTTTTTTTATAATCTCTAAGCTTGTTCGTGAAAAACGTAATTATACTTAAGTATCTATATTTGTCGTTATGTTCAGAACATCAAAATCATATATGAATTATTTATTAGTTTATGAAATATTCTGATTGTTCGGAACATTTAAAATATTGCAGTCAATTTAAGTCTCGTCAGTATCATGTGAAATACAAATACTGGGCTTCAAGAAACAGTGATTGTATTTTAAAATCCATTGGACTATTGTATATATATATATATATATATATCTATATATTCTTTTTTCTTCTTTCTTATATCTTGAATATTACTTGTTTTTTCTCTCTCTTTCAATACTGTTTCTTATAGCTTAGTTATTTATATAAACTTATATTTCGTGTTACAATATGGCTGCCATACTCACAATTTATCAAGTGCCGCTATTGTCTGTACAGCAATAAGTATTAAACTATGATTATACCAATTAAGTCAAAAAATAAAAATACGATTATAAAAAAAAAAAACAACTATTACATTAAAATTGTATCTATGTATATACGCATTATATAGTAATCAAAAAATGACTTATTTTAGATACTTTTATATCTAATGAATCTGCACAGTAATCATTCACAAGGTTTATCTAATAAAATAGTATTAAAAAAAAGCTTAAGTGTCTCTCTTTTTAAGAAGAAATCAGCAGTGAAACGTGATTGAATTCGATTAAAATGTAATATTTTCTAGGCCTAGTTCCACTAAACTGCTAACTTTTTCAAGACCATTAAAAGATAAAAATAAAATGAAGTGCGTAATATTCATAAAAATCCGAAGGTGTTTAGAAATATTAAGGTCTTCATATTCTTGGCAGTTGTATAACTTAAGCAGTTTTTACATATGATCTTCGATAGTATTATGGTCACTTGTAATTAACATTAAAATGCTGCATATTAAATTTAAATTTAAAAAAACTACTAAACTTTTTTTCTTTTTCCTTTTTTATACAATTAAAACCGATGTGATTATTATAGAAGTTCATGATGTCACTTCCATTTTAAGGCCTGCCAAACGATTATGGAGTTCTTCCGATGATGATGCATTTCTGAAAATTGAATTGTTACTGCCAAAAGGATGGTCAGTACGTCAAATATTCATTAATTAGCTTAGCATAACTACAAGATATTGCAGGATCAAATAAGATACTCATGCAATATATATGCTTCAGAGGAAATTCTAAGCTATAAAAGCAATAAAGGCACATTTGACGTTATACAATCATGTTGATAAATAATGAATATTCGACTCACAGTAAATGATCCTTAACACTGTCAATGGTGATATCTCCAACTGAACTTAAATCCTGTCGTTCATCTTCCCCATTCACCTCAGTGATACTTGCGGAAGGCTGCAAGGAAGGTTCCTTTGGAGATTCTTCACCACCTAAAAGATACGTGTTCAACAATCGAAGCTGGTGATCTACTGCGCAGCTCAATATTTCCATTAAATGAGCAATACTTTATAGCAGTACTTACTGGGATTGCTAATTTATTGGATTTACCAATAGCAACTAGCTCCTAAATACATACATAAATACATACACACATGTATATATGTATATATAGTAGGACGTAGAAAAAAGATTACTTGGGCTTTCCAGAAATCAAACATAAATCATTTATTTATTGGATAACTATTCATAAAACTACCCAAGCTCTCCTTCTTATTTCTTCTCCTAATATGCATTATTCTAAATACTTAAAAATACTGTTTACAATTTCCAAATATTCTCTACGATATGTATATATATATATATATATATATATATATTATAAAAATCCTATTTTTTTATATGAAGGTCACGTCAAATAACATGAAGGAGACAAAAATTATTTAGCATATGAAAAAATGCGATTTCTATATATAAATCCTTAATTCTTTCTTCAATTATAATTATTACGTGAATACTTCAATATATACGTATACTTATATTTTTATATATACATACATATAGTTTTCCACAAAGTACATGTATATGTAAATTGCTCACATATTTATAATTATGTATGATGAAAAAACTGTTCTATACTAACTGGAACCTACAACACCATTCTCAGCTGCATCTTCGTTAACAGCTTGTTCTTCTGCACTAGTTTCTGCAGATACTCTAGCACTAGGTGGTAAATTAAGTGTACAATGGGCTTTTGTTACTTTTGTCGCTGATAATGAGATGCGTTGAAGTTCGGAACTCGAATGAAGATATAATGCTTCTCCAGACTTTGTGAATGTTAGGGATGAAATACCACTACAAAAAAGAATCAATTATTTTAGTTAAAACTTGAAATAAAACTTACACACAAATTAACCAAAATACTAAATTATCATTAAAATGAAAAGAATATTAGAACTTACTTAATATCTTCTCGTTTAATTGCAGCTGCATTAAGTTGCCTTCTTAATTCTGGGATACTGAGTATTAAACAATCTCCAAGGTTCGTCAAACAAAGTAAGCATGTTTCCATATGCTCTCCCGTAGAATCGATTGGACATGTAAACTTAGCAAACCCTGTTTTACGTACCCTGGATCCTTCATGAGCAGTAAGTTTATATTTGCAATTAGGTTTCAATGACGGTAGATTGAAAATTTTAAATTGTTCTTCGCTTGCTATTAATACTCTATGTGGTGATGCCATATCTGGCCCAGGGGAAACACCTTTCTCTGCTTCAAAAGGTTCTGGTAAAGGTACATTCGAACCATCTAATATAGTTATAGCAATGACTGGTGCACGATGCTTCAGCTGGATTTCTTTTCCAAGTGTACAATTTACGTCTTCTTCTGTTCTCCTAACACCAGCAGGTATTGCTAAAGTAAAAACGTACACTGTCCCGTTGTTAGTACCTGCCCAAAGCGTTGGTGTTGTGTTTTGCACTAAAATCAATTAAATGTATAAACATGTATATAATAATCAATTTTATTTGTTTGTTTGCTTAAGTTTGACATCAAATTATAAAATTATGTATTTTAATGTCGATAAATATTGGACTTACTGCTTATGATATAACTTCTTGCAAAATATAAGCATCGTACCATAGACCCTAAAGCATCATCTACTGGTCTAGCTTCGACTTGTCTTTCTACCGGTTTTAATTCCATAGGTGATAAATCAGCACTTGGAGAAGATGCTACGCTAGAGCTTCTCGAAGGAAAATGGAAATTAAATTTAATAATAATTTATTGTAGAAGAAAACAATAAATAGGATAAATATAAAATTACTAAATAAAAAAAATGATAAAACAAACATTTCTTTCTTTTTCTCTATGACGGCACTTCTTGTTGGACTACTAGTAGTTGTCCGTCTTTGCGATCTTCCTTTTCTTAACCTTCTAAAAGATTCCCTTAAGGATTTCTTAAATGATTTTCGCCTAGATATTGGTGTGTCTCCTGCACCAGATAGATCTGTGGAAAATTTGAATTAATAAATACCATTGTTTATGATCTAATTGAGAAATAAATTGAATAACAAATAAAATAAATACCATTTGGATTAAGTGTGCATTTAACAGTAACAGGCTTTACCCTTGTGTAGTCAAAAACTGCTAAGCCATGAGCTGTGCCCGTAGCAAGTAAACCCCATTCACTATGCATTGCTAATGCAGTAACAGCAGCTGGTGGATATAACTGTAGAATGCTTTGAGGTTGAAAACCAATCGCAAAGGATATACTGGCAGTCCTTACGGGTAAATGATCGTAACCTTTCCATACAAATCCATCGCGATCATTAACAATATTCATCGTCACTGCTTTTATTTCTTTATTAACTGGTTCAGAAGATATTACAGCTGTAACTACATGGCCAGCTGTTCCTGCTATTACTAATGTTGAAGATAACGGACACAAAAGAACTTTTTTGACTGCAAGACGTGGGTCATCGGAATATGGATCAAACGTGCCCACTTTCCGAAACGGTGGCCATTCATCTTCATCATCTTCCGGTGGTTGCTCAAGCACGTCTAAGTGTTCTCCGGTGAAAAGAATCGATGAATTATATTTATATAAAGGTGTTAACGAGACATCCGATGCATTCCAAAACCTCACGGTACCATCCTCGTGACCGGTAAGTAACAATTCTCTGTTTTCAATTTTATCAGGATTTTCCGGTTTGTTGCATAAAATGGTTCCCCCGTCAATAGGCCATTCTTTATCCGAGTATAAGTGTTCTGTCTGTGCTTTTCCAGCAGACATTATTGAATCCCAAAGTTCTTCAGGAACATTTGGAACGTGTTGAGAACAAGTTACCTGTCATATTGTATTTATTTAAAAAATTGTTAAAATATAATATATCTATATGTAAAAACGTTAGATTTTGTTTTCCTGCAATGCCATTTACAGAAAAAATATTTACCGCGCTAGCATGAAGAGATACCAAATACGGTAAAGCCATCATTTTCCATTGTGGATTTGTTAAATCAATAGCTACAATTTCTTCTTCAGCTAATACGATTAAAGCTTCAGGATTGTCTGGTATGTCTTTGCCATCTTCGTCTCTGGCAAATACAGTGAAGAAGTCAATAACTTTCGAAGTAAAATCAAATACGACGTGTTTATCCTTCGTCATAACAGTGATAGTGTGACGATCACCATAGCTTGCACGTTGCATACCACCAGAAAAGAGCACCAATTCTCCATGCCTGTTGAAAATGATCTTTTTATTCAAATCTCTCGTATTAATGTAAAAAAATATATATATTAGATTCGTGCAAAAATAATTATGGTTTTTATTATTTTAAATTTCACTCTTTTCTTGTTTTGCTCATATAACACACAATTGTAAAAAAGGAAATTGGTATTACTAATTTTGGATTATAATATTGTTTCCATTGTTTGATATTGTCGAATATAACAAGAAGATCTTAAATTAATCATGGAAGAAAGTAAATACGCTTGATCTTATAGCATGAATTTAAATTGGTACGTAAAGCAGCATAAACTGCTTGAAACCAGTTTTTCGGCCAAGAAACAATTAATTAATGTACAGCTAAATATTAGTTCTACAATTTTCTCGATGGAGACAAAAATCTTGAAGATGAGGAGAATAAAGAATGTCTTTTAACTATAGCTAGAGAATTAAAAGCCATTATTAAAACAAATCACAATAAAATAAGTCTGAATGTTGATCATTCAACTGTTATTCGACATTTAAATGATATAAATTTAAAAAATCAGTATTTAAGAACTGTAATTATTTTGGCATCAATTTAATATAATAGTAATTTGATGTATAAATAAATAACTTACTCAGCAGTTGGATAAACAAGAATTTTCGTGATAGCTTTACAAGGAAAAGGTCCATACGGTGTCGTCGGATCTGGTACTGCATCGCTACCTGGGTTCCAAAATGTATAGGACCCATCGTTGTGAGATGAGACAAACCGACTCTCAGAAATAAAATGCACTGATTCCAGCTGTTGCGTGGATACGAATGTCTGCGTACGCGAAAACAAACCCATCAGCTGCACGTACACGTTCGCCAGAACCACCAAAGACACAAATAACAGTCAGGAACCGAGCAATAGTAGCTCGCAAACCATTCTTAAGCATTTTCCCAATAAATATTAACCAATAAAGCAATTTCATCATCTAATCTAATAACCACCACTAATGGCATACCCAATGCATTCCCCAATATAATATTATACTGCATACTCTCATATATACAAGACTTATCAAAAACAAATGAAAAAAGATATATCGAACAGTTTTACCTGCTGTGCTCCTGGAGTAGCTTTATTCCAAAGTACCATCAAACCTCGATTATATCCAATAAGAATGTTGTCTGGATGACCTGGTTGTTCTGCTATAGCTTCTACTGCTCCTGGATTTTTCTTATAATCGTCGGGTACACTGTTTAAATACACAAACATTGTTTAAAATGTTATAAGGGTTCTACAACATTTATAGAATTTGTTCATTTCAATTACAATTGAAATAATTTAAGCAACTCACTTTTGCATTACTACATCTTGATAGATGATGTTATCGGGTACTGCAAACGTTTTCAAATTCAGAAGGTAAATGTTACCTCCTTCTACTCCTAAAAGTAGATTTTCTCCGCTTGATTCCAAACACATTGCTGAAATTTTCTTCAATTTTCCTTCCAATGATAATGATTTTGTCTCCACAACCGAATTTTCATTGATTTCCCATAAATGTAAAGAATTATCATCGCAGAGAGAAACGATGCGACCCTGTCGTCAAATATCCATATGAATATATGTATATATTTTTATATAATATTTGTAAACAAAAATTAAGAGACGAAAACAAAATAAATAAGTACAAAGGAAAAGAAAAGAAAGAAAAGAAAAAGAGAAGAAAAGAAAAAAAGAAGTAATTGGATCCAATCAAACAAAGATAAAGAAACAATACATTATAGTAAATCATTAGATCAAAATCATACAGTGTTACATTATCTTATCAGACTTAAGATTCGTTCAAAAAATTATCAAGATAACAGAGTATAAGTATTCCGCGCTCGTTACTGTACAAACACCGTAAGAACACGTTCGATCGATCTTAAAAACAAGAAATAAATCTAACACGGCTCGTTCTATGAAACCTAAATAAACACGCCTATCCTCAGTTATCTTATGTTTTAAGATATTTCATGAGTAACATGAGTACGAAGAAATACAAAATATAGAACACGTTCGGAGAATTTAAAAAAAAAAAAAAACAAAAAAAAGAAGAAGAAAAAAGAAGTTAAACTTTCGCTGCGTTATATTGTTTTGTGAACAATACCATTAACTTTCTACGATACGATAAAACAGAGAAGAAAGTCTATAAATATTGTTCCTTTAAAACTCAAGCAAGGAAGTTACTTTTCCTTATTTTTATTCTTTCTTTTTCTTTTTTTAATAATATAACATTATCTGTCATTCTCTTATATTCCGACTTATCGTACAACGGAGTTCTAAAAATAAAGTTTACATACAAAGAGAAGCTTTTTGCAATTAACTTACGAATACGTTGAAGAAGTATTATGTTACGAAATGAAACACGTGTGAATGTGCATAAACGAATATGAGGTATATACCTGTGATATTATGCAACTTACAAACTGACGCCCTATATACAAGATATCTTGTTACATTCGCACAACTTTTGTCCACGACTTTTGAAACTTTTGATTTTAGTTTCGTTACGTTTTCGATGAAACATCGGAACCTTACGTTGTATGAGAATAAAAAAGAAAGAAAGAAAGGAAAATCTATGTCGATCTTATGTATACGTTGCGAATATAAAAAATAAAAAAAATAAATAAATAAACCAATAAAATGTAACCTCATTAACTTTCTTACCTCATTCGGTATGGCGACAATTTTTGTAACTGCATTTTCACCACTTTCGCTGGAATGTTGACCATAAAATTCAACTCCGGGTCTTCCAAATCTGTTTTCAATTACGATTCAAGGATTTTATATATAAAAAATAAATATAATTAATATTATACGAGATAAATATTCTTGATTATTTTAAATCCTTTAAATCACTTGTTAATATAAAGAAAAGAAAAATAATAATGCAATTGTTTCGTGATTATAAAAAAAGAAATAACATTATTTTGTTTCTCTCACATAACAAGAACAAGAACAATTTTAATTACGGTAACATTTCGTTAAGAAAATGGATTTATTTTCGCACGGTAAAATTCAGAAATTTAAAAACCAGAATTATTTAAATTGTTCCGACGATTTCCAAGAAATTAAATTCATTCAACGCGTAACTATACAGTTTCCATAGGGTGAGGGGGCTTTGATATCAAACAAATTATAACAATAAAGTATCGACAAATTAAAAAGATTTATATAAAAATATAAGAAATAAAATAATGCTCGATTTAAATCTTAATACTTGATGAGAAAGTTTAGATATTAAAAAAGTGTAGGTAGGTATAAATATCAAAGTATACATTTCAATTGCTTTTAAATGTAATGACATTTTATGTCATGTTGCCCCCCTCCTCTCCTTTCCTTGAAAACATTTTGTCCTTGACGTGAATCATCATTGTGTTCTAATGATTCTCGTAAATAAGATTACATCTTTCTACTAGTTAAAAAATTATGAAATAAAATAAAACAAAATAAATATAAAAGAAAGGAAATAAGGAAGGAATGCATGGAAGTGGGGGGGGGGGTTAGAAGGGGAACAAGAGGAAATGCAAGTAAAACAAAAGGATACACTTTGATGGCGCCGGATGTCGTTCCAATGATCATCAGTCGTAAACTCGGATCCCATGCAAAAGCTGTTGGTTTGTTTGGAAAGCCATGTTGCACAGTCTGTAAAAGTAAATTGAAAAAAAATGAAGAATATTATTTTTTACGAGAGAAGAGAAGAATAATTTTATTATAAAATAAATATAGAAATTTATAATATCATTTATATATGTTATATAATAATATTACACATGTAACTTTATTTACAATATTATATAACTAATACATTTTTTCTTTCACCTCTTGATTAATTAAAAATATAATATTATCAATTTTTTGATTGTGCTAAGAATAATAAAACGTTTCTTCTTTCTATAATATTTCTTTTTATTATAAAAATAATAAAAAAAAGATAAGAAAACGACTTTATTCGTAAGTTTCTATCTGCGTGTATGTAATACTTAATTCTTGTACGCTTGCATATGCCTCATCATATGCATGTAACTTAACTATCCTTCTGTTTTTCTTTCTACGTTTCCTCTCTCTTTCTCTCCATGAACGTGCATCGTGCGATAGAAGATGCACAGAGAAAGAAAAGAAAAGAAAAGAAAGGAAGGAAGATAGAATTAAAACCTGATAGGATTTCGCGCCAACGTAGTACAAGGTACTCAACGTGATTTTTTACCCTTTTAATGTCTATACGTTCGAACCACTATAAAAAAAAAAGAGAGAGAGAGAGAGAGAGATAGAGAAAAAATATTCCTCGCGAATAAACCACGACGATCATCCTGATTTATGTTAGCGTTGTCTACCAGAGATCACGTCTTCTAGACTTTCGATATCGATTACATCCGGAAAGGATATCGACCTGTTGATTCAGTATACATTTTGTTCTCAAAGCATATTATCTCGCATTACAATTGAACGTAGATTCTGATATTATCGTCAAAGTGAATTACTTATATAATTATTTAATTGAAACTTATATTAAAAAAAAAGAAGAAGAACAACTTGAGAAGTATTTATATCGAAGGTAATGGAAAAAGGGATCTTATCGTGATCGCGAGTTATGCAACGAAGGAACGATATACACGGCGTTATGAATCATGCTCGTTCGAGTACCGGCACAATTTTTGATCTTACGATAAAAATCTTTTCTATATCGAGCTTATATCGCGTAAAATTTCTATTTAACATGACAATTTGATTGTTATGTGAATCATATTAATAACCAAAAAAAAAGGTAAGAAAATAAAGATATTATAAGAAACAATTAGAGAAGAACATAATATCAACGTTTCCTATTTAATTTTTAATCGCAGAACAATTGCCGGAATATAATTGAAGATTAAATCGAAATAAATCGTGAAGCTTCTCGGTCAACATTTTGATAGTAAAAATTTAGAGAGAGAGTGACATACACACACACATACATACATAATTAGAGAAATGATGATATTTATCAGACATTATCTTGAAACGAGAATAAATTACACGACAAAAATTAACGATACGACAATAAAAAAAAAAAATCATGTATAAATATAAAAACCCGGTATGAACGTTTTATTGAATATTCAGTCGAGAGTTCGTGGAATTGCAATATCGCTATACGAAAATATATACGAGGAAAATGATTTTATCTTCTTCACGATCTAAACACGATTATCTATCCTTGCCTCCCCTTCTCGATATTGTTTGCATAGTCTTCATACTCGCTAATCGAAAATGATTGTGGAGTTTCTTTGAAAAGTACTTCGAATCTTTTGTAGACAGAAAAACCTTTCCATGCTTGCAATGATAACGAAGCAAAATCGAAGAGACGACAAGATGATATCGTGATCGAACATTTCGAAAGATGATCGATCAATCGATCGGTCTGTTTCTCGTTCTTATTTATTTTGTAATTTTCTTCTTTTTTTTTTTTTGCCCCTCCTTAAGCTGTCCCATACCGATTTATAAATATACACTTCGATATGTATATTTTATATTTGTGTTTGTGAATTTTATTTTTTTTTATTTAATGATGAATAATGATATTCTCTCTCAATTAAAATATTTTTTTTTTGTAGATTAAAATTTATATATCATATGTTAATTAAAAGTATTGATTTTGAAATAATATTTTATTAGTTTTAATCGATGTGCGAATTCTTTTCGGAAAATCTAATAAAATGTTCTTTGAAAAAATTCAATAATTTTTGAAAAATATAAAGAAAAATCTTGAACGAAGGAACGAACGAACATACGAATAAATGTACCAATGAACGAAGCCTTGATCGTTTGACACGACGTCCCAATTGGTCAAGTACGCGAGTACTTTAATCCAAATCAATCAACCGTTGTTGTTGCGTATCACAATCGCGTCTCTTTCTCTCCTGAAGCAAGTAACTTTACCGATATAACGTTCATTATGGTCAAACGACAAAGCAACTCGTATAACGATAAAAGTTTAGATCGACAATCATTGGTATGCGTGACGTAATCGTCTTTTTCGTTTATTTGGAACTGATAAAAATGTCATTCGATTTCTATTGCTTTTCTTTAACAACAAAACGTTATTTATTAAACAAATTTGTTAGTGATAATATATTTCATCGATATATAATACGTATTTTACAAAAGGATAACAAATATCAAATGAATAAAATAAAATAAACAAATTTCAAACACGTACTCGAATTACCTTGATTACGTGTTTGATATTTTAGATGTAACAACGAAAAACTTTAAATAATAGTCAAAAATGTTCAAAAATTCGTTTATATTTCAAGTTTTTCATCATATTTCTTCTTTTATTGTTTGTAAATGTAATACAATTATGTATATAATATTTAAATATTTTATTTATATTTGAACTTTTTAAGTATGTTATTTATGGTAGTAATATATGATAATTATATTAGTAGTATAAGTAGTAATTATATTCGTAGTATGAATAATGTATAAATATGCTATTTATATTTAAACTTTTCAACTTTGTAATTTATGCTTTGATATATATATATAATAATAATAATAATAATTATACTAGTAGTATAAGTAATATTAAAAATATTTGACAAAGATTAATTGTTTTATAGGAAGAGAATATTTATTGTGTATGCAAAAAGAAATATATTTATATAACATGATACACATTAATCGATGATACTGTTAGAAAGAGAACTGTACTAGATAATTTAAAGTATAGTGAAAGTAAAGACAAGACTACAATAGATACATCGCTTTAACAACGAAGGCACGTTTTTCTCTACATGTACGTGTAAATAACTACGATGCCTTGACGCTCGAAATTAGCCATCGATCAACGTTTGTGACTCGTTTACCGTTAAATTACGGTGCTTCTCTCGAACATGCGAATAGATTTCGTACCTGCCGAACTTATCTACATCCGAATTTATCTACATCATATTACTTTATACAAAAAGTACCTTTTTACCTATATATAAATTTTAACACACATATCTAACAAAAATAAAATATTAAAATTTACATAACATTTACATAAAATTAGATAATTATAATATTATATTTTTAATTTAAATATTTAAATTATATATATATAAACCCTTAAATAGATAATTATATACTATATATAAACCTAATGGAAAATTTCTATCTTCTTCTTCTTCCTTCCTCATTTTATTAGGATTTTGTGCTGTTATAATAGCTTTTTTTTTTTATTGCTATTTCTAGGAGCGATTTATTGTACTAGTTAAAGTACTAGTTAATATATATCAATTTTCATTATTCGTGTTAGATAAATATCAATAATTACTTCATTCTGTTATTACTAATTTTCCTCAAAAAAATGGGAGCTCATATTTTAATAACAATTTTAATTCAATTTTCTATACATCTGATGCGAATTTGTATTATGCATTACTTATTGAATATATGCAGAACTGCACCAAAACCAAGGATGCAAAGTGTGCACTGCATTAGAGTAGCAACATTGATTTGCATAAATTGTGTTACTTTTATTTACAGTAGTAAATGCTACATGTAATATTTTTTTTTTTATGGGACGATAAAAATTTACAGCCGGGTGGCAAATACCCTTAAAGCGACCCTTCTTTCTTATACATATAATAACAATATATGTTATTTTTTCTGACAATCCGGTGTGCATCGAGAGATATAAGATACAATAGAGAAGGAAAGGGAAAAACAGAGAGAGAGTGAGAAAAAGAAAGAAAGAAAGAAAGAAAGAAAGAAAGAGAGAGTACGTTATTTGATAAAATGTAGATATGCACACGTGCTTTTTTTATAGCGAACGTAAGTAAGTACGTAAGACATATGACAGCGGCATCGTATTTCAACCTTGAAAGATTCGGTAAAGTAAAACGCGTTCCTCGCGGTTCGGCGATTTTCTCGGCCTTTCAACATTTCTCTTCTATCTTTTTTTTCTACATATACATACAATATATAAATATACATGAACCAGTGATTATGAAAGTGTTTTAAGTCAATAATAATTAAAAATCAATTTATTGCATTATTTGTATATTAAATCAAATATAAATTACGGAATAAATACATTTATTATTTGTTTTTTTAATTTTTGTGTGAATAAAAATACTTATTATCACTGGCTATATATATATATATATATATATAAATATATGTTTTTTATCTATAAAATATTTAACGTATACACGGAATATACCGATGTCTATCACCTTGAAAAATTATTTCCTCTCGACCAAGAAGCGATATATTACTATATATATATATATAGATATAATAGGAAAAAAAATGATGATAAAAATACATTTCGTGGTTTCCTCGTAATGTGATCCTCCTCGTTGAAGATTTAAATGGCAAAGATACTTTCCTATTTTTTGCAAAGTTATGATGGGAAAATACTCATCCCAAAAAAAGTAAAGTAAAGTAAAGTAAAGTAAAGTAAAGTAAAGAATAATTGCGAGAAAGTTAACTTCTACTTTTATTATGTCATTTTACTCTCTCGTGCACCATTCGTAAATCATTAGAAACCTATTTATTTGTTATTTATTTTTCTTTAATTTCTTTGAAAAGAGTTGATAATAACATAGACATAAGTAGACATTAATAATAGAGTAATGTAAAGCAAATATAGAATTTTGTTTATAGATTTATCTGAGTTTTATATATTTTTGTCTTATTTTAACAATGAAATATGGTGGTAAAATTTTGCTAAGAAAAACTAGGACACCCTGTATATTGCCAATAAAGAATATAATCACCTTCAATTTTTTAAAGATATCTTGTTCGACTATATTGTATAACCTTCAGCAGTAATTAACAAGAATGATCATCTTTATCACCCCCTCCCTTTATTCTTAATAAAAGCACATTTTAACGATAACGAATGTTATCGAAGTGAAAGAAGAGGGTACATAGTTTTGTTGATACAGTCCTATCAAAACTATGAACCCTTTTGTATCTAAATAAACATGTAAGTAAACATTTATATATGCATACATACATTTAAACATGCGTTAAGAGACTGGAAACATTTTTATCTGCATAAAAATTTAGTTTCATTGTAAAAAAACAAAAATTATTTTATCCTACCGAGAATTTCGAACAGACAAAAAGAGATATATATATATATTCGGAAAATCGTTTGTGCATTCACATCAGCAACGTGTTTAAGCCGGTAAGAAATGCAAAGTGTGCGCGTGTCTAGCTAACCTGTGTATTATGCATTTTTGTATAATATGATTGTCCAGTAAACTCGTACCAATTGAAAAATAACTAATATTTAAAAACACCATATATATTTCGATATATATTTATGAATCGGCAGAAACTTTTCGGACAATCTAATAGATGTATATCTATATAGATGTGCAGGTAAAGTCGATGAGTACTATACTAAACCTTTAATACAACGTTACTACACTAATACTCACTTTTCGAAAGGCAAAGAGATCTTTTTGAAGTTTCTGCCGTTCGGCGGTGGGTTGTTGGCCCTTTCCTCTTATAAACTTGAGCATCCTCGTTGCCTTCGTTCACGACGATGATAACACGATCGGCAACGTGTAAGTGCCGATGAGAACTCGCACACAAATATACTAAAAGTATAGACACACACACATACACACACACACCAATATATCAACCACACATTCGCTCGCACGCGTATACAATAAAACGTGGTAATGCAAGGAGGTCGATGTAAACTCTTCCTTTCGAATATATTTACAACAGAAGAGAACGGTACGAACTCGTATTCGCCGTTGTCGTCACTACCGTCGTCACCGATGTTGTTGTCGTTGTCTTACTCGTATTCGTACTCGTATTCGTCGTCGTACTTGTCGTCTTCGTCGTCGTTGTTGTAATCGTCTCGTTACTGGAAAAAAGGGCAGATACGCGCGCGCACACACACTAGAGCACAACGCACAGACAAACGGGGACATACACGTTAAACCGTAATTACACGGGCGAGCAGACGGAATGTAATTAAAACATTCTTGAATGAACGGTAAATATCGCACGACGTACCGTAATAACGTGTACCTACCGTCGTCGCAAAGTGTGTTGACCGCACACGTTCGATGCGCCCGCAACACGTCAGTTCCTCGTATATTCTTTTCGCTTTTCGAAACCCCCACTCTACTTTCTACTAAATCTCCCTCCTTCTCTCTTTCTCTCTATCTATGTATCTATCTACCTATCTCTTTTCTTTCACTCACTGAAATCCACCGCACTAGAGCAATGTGTCAGCCGCTTCGCTTTTTTATGAAATCTTCGACATGAGAATTTACGATAGTTAAGGTGAAATGTCCGTTATTAAACGCCGTTAAATCCTTCGTATTTCCATGTAATTCGTAAGCTCTGAGAATGCGTAAAAGCATCGATATCCGAAGGGACGAAGGCGTAAGCTCTTGTCACTCCACATCCGTCTCTCGCGTCAGTCGCGTCTTTCGCCCGTTAACTCCTTCTCTTGTCCAATCACATTGCTCGGTCTCTTTCGGAATGCCTCGCTGTAATTCGCTACCCCTCGGTTATTTCCGACTTCTCATCGTTCTTACCTTCGTACAACTTCGGCTTCTTTGCAACCCGCGCGAACCAACCGAACAATGACCTCCTATATCACTCTTACCAACTTTTAAAAATTTTATTCTATTTTCACGCGCGGTATTATACCATCCTGTTTGAATTCTTTCTACTTCCTATCAAATGTTCTTTTATTTTTCTTCCTTTTCTTTTATCTATCTTTTATTTTTTCCTAATATTTTCTATATATTTTTAAATTTTTTTTTTATATTTCCAATTATCTACTTTATTTTAATGTTTCATTCAGTTTCTAAATTTGGAGTATTCTAATGTAAAATATGTTATTTTAAACAAAAATATAATTGTATAAAATATAAAGATGTTAACTTATTGCTGACATTATTAACAGCGCAATACGTTATATTAAATGATATGCAAATGACTTGTCAAAATTTCATGAATGATTTAGAAATTTGCCCTGTTATTCATGTTATATAGATATATGTCTTACTTTCATAATACGCTGAAAGTGCTTTTTCCTTTGGTATTTCTGTTCATCGATTAGTATGATAATATCAATGAAATACACTCACATAGTGAATCAAGACGTATTACCTACTTGTGAGTAATTATGACTCAACTATAACCTTAGTTTTATAGAATGAGTCATAAATATTAATTAAATCTAACGACATCAGAGATTTAATATACTTTTGAGATATCAAGTACATTTTTTATCAATATATGTATATAAATATATATATATATAAAAGATTTCTTTTATTTACATTATATTCTAATTACAAATTAATACTATTTTCCACATTAGTTGGAACAATNGTATATAAATATATATATATATATATATATATACTTTTATATATTGATATTAACTGTCAATTAAATTTTGATTTATTTTTGTTTGACATCATCGTTAGACATATATATCGTAACGAACTGCGGAACTTTGTAAGTAATGCGCAAACCAAAATTGCGATTATTTTAATTGGCTGCATGTAATATATTTATTGTATACAATTCGTTATAAAAATGTATGTTTTTTCGTATATATTGTAAATGTATTGTGACGAAGTTGTAGATCAGATAAGATTATCTTGTCTCTTTTTTTATATTTGACAGTTAGGCATTTTGTAACAGCTGCTTGTATAAAATAATATTTTGTTTTTTATTTTGCTTAAAAATTGTATTTTCAAATAGATTATATATATATATATGGAATGATAATTTTGTATTTTCTAAAAAATTATTTGCTATTATAATTTTTTTATTAAAATGATCATATTTGTCAAACAAACAGGTATTTTGTTAAATAAAAAAGAAACAATATCGCTTTTAAAATAAAATTTGCATATGTAAAAGAAATTTTGTTTATAGCTTTATTTCTCCTTATCCTGTTTGGAATCATATGTCTATCCTCTGAAGAGATGTCTACCCAGAAGGAAGAAAATATTTTGCAAAAAGTAGCAAACTCTTGTTGCTTTTTTTCTAGTAATTTTTACAAGGTACAATTTTTAATTAATTATATTGAGGCATGGTTTATGAATAATTTATATTTTAGATACTATCAGATGAACTTGATGGCAATGTAGTTACTTCGCCGCTTAGTTTACATACCATACTGTCCCTACTTCATCATGGATCAAAAGGATTAACATTTAACGAATTACAAACCGTTCTTTATCAAAGCGGTGCTGATGTTTCTCACGATGAAATAAAATCTTTAATTTCTACATTAAATGTAAGATTATAAAATAGCATAATTATTGCATATCGTTATATTAATTTTAAATATTATTATCAGGATATAAAGGATGTAGAATTACAAATAGCCAATGCGATATATATACAAAATGGTTTTGAAATATTTAATGAATTTACTGCAGTGAGCGCAGATGTTTTCAATTTTAGCTTATCTATAATAGATTTCAAAAATAAATTACAAACATTTAATGAAATTAATTCATGGGTCAAGAAAACAACAAGAGATAAGATTTCTGATATTCTTTCTATGGGTAAAAATAACAATATAACAATTTGTATACTGATATGTTAATTAGACTGGATTATCACTAATATTTTTTTTGTAGACGATATTGACGAAGATACAAAAGTTATATTAATAAATGCAGTTTACTTCAAAAGTCATTGGCTGCATAAGTTTGATGATAAGTTAACTAAACAAATATTTTTTCACGCAACAAAAACAGATAAAAAGTTAGTACCAATGATGTACAAACAAACCAAATATCTTTACGGAGAAATTTCAAGTTTAGATGCACGTTTCATTGAAATACCATACTTAGTAAGTCTTAATAATTACACACTGAAAAGTAGATATAAAGTTATAATATACAATTTTGATGAATTAAATTTTTATAGAATAAAGACATCACAATGATAATATTGCTACCTAATGAAATTGAAGGGCTTCAATTTCTGGAACAAAATTTTAAATGGGAAGATATTTCTAAAGCATCAAGTAATGAAGTAGATATTGCATTAACTCTTCCCCGCTTTAAGTACGAGGTTACAATTGATCTGGAAAACATTTTACGCAAGGTAAAATTAATAATTTATACAAAAATAGATGCTATATTATATATAAGCTTTTTATACTAATTGATAATGTATAAAATCATTTTAGTTGGGCTTACATTCCATGTTTGAAGATAGAGCAGATTTTGGTAAACTTACAAACGAGCCTGTAAAAATAAGTAAAATAATACAAAAAGCTTTCATTGAAGTCAATGAGGAAGGTTCAGAAGCCGCTGCAGCTACAGGTTAATTTTTGTTAAATATATCATGTATTTATATTTAGAAATCTTCATTATTATATAAAATTTTGTATTTTTTTACAGTCGCTCAAATTAGATTCAAAAGGTCAGCATTGATAGATTTTCCGGAAGAGTTTTTAGTGAATCGTCCATTTTTATTTATTATTAATCACAAACCGAGTAAAATACCAATATTCTTGGGTAGCGTGAAAGATATCTACATTCCTATCGAAAAAGATGAATTATAAAATAGTTATTTTATTTACATCGTATTTATGGTACCTGTTTATAAAATATTTTTAATAAAATATAGAATATATTTAATATTTTAATAATTCCTTCTGTATAAAGAAAATTAAATTAATTTGTATTGTATCGCACATTTTATGTAGAATTAAAAAATATTCTGTACTTATATATATCCAAACTAATTATAAGTATAATAAATAATAATTTAGCACTATACATTGTATCATATCTTAAATAAATAATTTGCATTTGTTTGAATTTAAAACTTTTTCACATATTTTATATACTCTTAAATAANTATGTTTAACCAAATATAATCTTTTAATTATATTTATAATAAGTACGTATTTTTCTGTACAGAAATTGATTTGTTATATTCTCCTTTTCCTACTATTATATAAGTACAAATTTTTATTAATAGATCATTTTTTAATAGATCATATTAGTATATTTCTAATAATATAATTGACACCCATTTTCATAATATTGCAACATTTCGTATAATTACAATAAACTGACCAATGCTTATTGTACATCAATATGTAAATAAGAGGCAATAAATGCTCTTAAAATTTTATTAATGTTCTCCGTAGTCTTCATATCTATATTACTTCGATTATCACCTGATTTATGCCAGAAACTTGGAAATGGATATGGTATTAAATGCAATATTGGAATATCTGAAAGAAAATTATAACAATAGTTATAAGAAAATGGTAAAACAAAACCAAACAAATAAACGTAAAAATAATGTTATTTATAAGTCCATTATACTTTTTCTCAAAAAAGGAATGTGATCATCTTCTATATGCGCTGGTATAGAATATGGTTGAAAGTACTTCTGTTGCGATTTTTCATAGGAATAATTATCGAATTTTTTTAATTTAGCTAAAGTACTCTCAAGGTTAATAAGTAGCAAATACCATCTCTGAGTATCTTCGAAATAACTATAAAATGTTGGATCAGAGGCTCCTATTAAATCTAAAAGTACTAATATATCCTGAAATAAGAAAAAGAATAAATAAAGATTATTAATTTACCTCGATATATAATTAATTGTTATTTAATAATATACCATTCTATCAAGTTTAGAAATATTAATATCTTGCGTAAATGTAGTACGTTCAATATTCCACTTTTCAGCTAAATGTCTTGCTCCATAAATGGAGTCTTTAGGACCCCAAGTATTAAAAGCTTCTTCTCCATCAAAGAAAATAAACATTAAACTCACATCTTGCTAAAAATAATAATGTGTTGAAGACAAAAAAAAATATATATTTCCAAAACAATTATTTTATAGAAAAAGAAAATAATTAAACATACATTTTTAATAGACTTTAGTTGTATATCCATGACGGTAGCAATATTAATCAATTGTGCACATGGTACTGCGCTATCTGTTGCACCAACAAAATCTCCTTCCCTAGTATACTTTGAATCAAAATGACAAGCTAACGATATATACCTTTTAGCATTTGGATTCAATTTAGCGATTATATTCTCAAATTGTAGTTTTCCAAACGTAGGTGTCATATCCTCAAAAATATCTGACTCTATGGTCCAATTAAGATTCTTCATCGTCTCTTTGATATACTGTAAAAACATAACATAATATATTAAAAAACAAAACATAATCTCAGATATAATTTTATGAAAGATATTGAAACATTGTCATTCTTACGTTTTTCACTTTTTGATGTTGGGGAGTTCCTACAACTCTGACAACACAGATGTTATCTAACACATGTTCCATGTTTGTGACATTTGACATATCAGCAAGTTTGATAATTTGTTCATTTGTTAAAGATATTGGTTCATGATAATACTGTAATTAGTAGAAAATAATAATTAATTAATAACATTTGCATATATATATATATACATAATATTTTATTAAATAATATATGTATATAAGACTGAGAAAAAAAGATTGAATTAGTTAATTATAAGGAAAAAAAAAAACATTTCAAATATATTACATACCTTCTCTCTGTAAAATGGTACATTTTTTGAAATAATCCTCTGAGGTATACATGGTATAATAATTAGTAAAATTACGTACAAAATTAAATAAAACATATTAAAATACAATTACAAAATATAATTTAAATTGAATACAAAAGAAATATGCCACATATCAACTACTGTCTTTGAAGAATGAAACACGACATGTTGACCTATAACATATAAGAAATTATCTGATTGGTCCATTTTATAATGCAGTTAAAAACTAGATAAGTTTAAATAAATATTGAATAAAAAGATAACTTTTATTACTATCTATTATTTCGTTAAGTAAAAATTTATTTATTATTAATTCATTTTGTAACAAGCTATATAATCAACTAATTTATTTTTATTTAGATTCATAGAAAATATATATTATTTTATTGGTCGGAACAATGGCGCTTAAATTTAAAAAAAAAGAATAAAAAAATATGAGAATACTTTATACGCTTATTTTAAAACATTTATATAAATATTTTAAGTATATGATAAAATTTATTTTAAGTATTCTTGAATATGATTAATAATGATATATTTTTTAAAAGAAAGACATATCTTTTTTTGTATTTGAAATTATCTTCTACATATAAAAAATTAAATTATATATGGTCATAACAAATATATTGTTTTTCGTATTGGTTATATAAATCGAATAATCGTTTTTGGTCGTAATAAAATCGAGCTATCGATTGTAAAAATGTAAAATATCAATATGGCAGCTGCGATCTGATAGGTTGGACGTCGTAATGAGACTATGAAAGAATAGCGTGTGTTTTGTGAAAAGCTGCACGCGTATTGTAATCTTAATTTAGACGAAATGTCTTAGACTAATGTCATTATTGATTAAATTTGTTAAACGATACAAGTTTTGTTAAATACAAAGCCAAAGAAACAAGGCAATGGATTCGATTGTAATAACGTACAAAACGGAGATTATAGCTTGAGAAAAGATAGTTAAGAGGAAATCATTCACAATTCCCTCCGACGAACGGAGGTACGCCTATGAAAACTTATTCATCGTAAAAAATTTCGAATTTTATCATTATTCTTTTTTAAGTTTATATTATTGATATTTTTCTTCATTGAGGAAAATTCATTCGAATTATCATTCTCAATAATCATTTATATGCCATATGATTTTGAAATTACATGTTATATTACTTCTCTCTCCTCTCATTATGTTATTAATATAATAAAGTTAGAATTTTATTTTGAAATATTCTTATATGTTTTTGTAGTTTAACCTCATCTATGTATCTTATTATTATGCTATGTCCATCTTTGCTCTTATTTATATTAATTTATTTGATTCTATGTTTGTATTATATCCTTTCTTTGTTCTTTTTAATATTATAGAAACTGGAGAAATGCTGACTTCAATAAACTACAATATTATATGTTAAGAAGAAATCAATTTGACACATCTGTTAATTCTATAAAAAAAAAACAAGAAAATGAACAGATCAGATTGTGGAGCTGATACGGGAAGTGGTTGGCGTGAATGTGCCAAATGGTTAACAAGATGTGGAGCTTTACGAGCTGATCATAAAGCAAATTGGCCAAATGCAACCCCATTCGATCTTGCATACACATTAAGAGATGGAGTATTACTTTGTAATTTATTAAATGCTGTAGATTCAGGATGCATAGATATGAAAGATGTGAATCAAAAGCCACAAATGGCCCAATTTTTATGTTTACGAAATATCAAAGTATTTCTCTCAGCATGTTCAACTATTTTCGGATTATCAGCTTCCGACCTCTTTGAACCTTCCATGTTATTTGATTTATCCAATTTTCAGCGTGTACTTTGTACACTTTCTGCTTTATCGAATTGTCATCGTCTAAGACAGAAGGGTATTCTGTAAGCATCTTTTAATTTTTTAATTTCTTATTTCTAAATGCAATCATTTTTTAATTTAATATATAATATGTATTTATTATAGAGGTTTCTCAGTAGGCCGCAGTCGATCTCAAGAAGATATTTATAAGGATTTGCAAAGTGCCGGTGTGGGGTAAGTGTGTTAAAATATTACAAATTTTATTATATACAATCGTAAGACTTTTATACTCTATTAAAATAATCAAAGTATAGTAGTCGTTTTAAAATAAAACTATAAGAAATAAAATTCTTAAAAATTGGTGCAAATCTTTTGGCATTATTTAGCTAAGTAGATTTGTAGTAATTTTGTTAATGAATTTAGCCCCACAGCAGAAGTGGTGGCGTTTACCATAAAGCCTAGGCCTATGGACCTAGGTGAGTCTGAAGTATATCAGGAATTGCTCTGTTTTTCAACTCCCCCTCAACACGACTGGCCTTCTACAGAGAAGGTATATGTCGTTTTGTATCCTGAGAATTTAATTTATCATTTAAGAAAAGTTCCAGTTATCACAATTCTTTATTAATCTATTTGAAAATAAGATAGCAAAATTGTATAGTGCTATTACTATATATTATTATCATTTTCATAATGTGATACTGGTACTATTTCAAAACACTTATCCAACTTGATATATGGCCATGAATGTTTTTAGTTTATGTTTAATCTTTGTTAGTAATATTATCATATCCCCCTTCATAGCTTAAGAGTGTTCACAAAATGAAGCTATTTTATGATGCATAGATAGTGCATGGCTATTTATATTTCTGTATAAAAGGCGCGAAGATGAAGGTCGTCGCAAAAGGTTTAGAAGGAGAGAGGGAGATGAAGCAGGTGGAGGAGGAGATAATGATGACTCTGTAGGAGAAGAGGATGGTTATGGAGCGTATTGCAGTCATGCTCAAAGTGAAGAAATCTATCAGGACCTTTGTAGTTTACACCTGCCACCTCCTCCATCTGTTGCTCAGGTTATTATTTTGTTATGCTTTTTTATGAGTTCTATATAAAATGTATATTCATTATATCCTTTCCTTGGCAGATATCAAAAATATTTCTAACGCAAATAACATTTATATATGTAAATAGAAATATTATTTGAAACTACTCCATTCATTATTAGGATTAACAATATTGGCTATTTGAGTTGTTCACATGCCAAGCGATTAACTACACTTTTTAGAATTTTTTAAAATCTTATTATTAAAGTACTCACACACACACAATCAATACTTAACTTTTTATATTTAAAATAAATTTCCATAATATAATTAATAAATGATAAATTAATAAATTTTTATATTCAATAATAAATGATAAGATAATCTATAATACTTTCTAAATTTCTTATACTTTTTGTTTTGTGGAGTTAATCAATTTGGCGAATGAGAGACTCATTTATATATTTTTATAATCACTTATTTGTATATAATTATTGTATATTATTATTTACAACTTAATATAATAACCGTAAAGCAGGGTGGTGCAATATCAGGAGGAGAAAAGAGAGACTATGTTATTCAAGAACTCGTTGAGACTGAAAGAAACTACTCGGATGTCCTCAACAGTTTATTAAAACATTTTGCGAGGCCACTCTCCACATTATTAAGACCTGAAGATTCAGCACGAATATTTTTTGGTATAAAAGAGTTATCTGAAATTCATGCAGGCTTCCATAGTCAACTTCGTAAAGCAAGAAACGGAGCTGCCTTAGCTCAAGTTTTTCTTGATTGGCGAGAAAAGTTTCTTATTTATGGAGATTATTGTGCTAATCTTACACTTGCACAGAATACTCTACAAGAAGCATGTGCAAGAAACGAAATTTTTAATCAAGAGGTTATAGTAAGTATCTGTTTTTATTTTATTAATTTATTTTATATATTTACATTACTTTATTAATTATATATATGTATATATATTTTATAGAGATGCCAGCAAGACTCTAATAATGGTAAATTTAAGCTACGTGATATACTTTCTGTACCAATGCAAAGGGTGCTAAAATATCATTTGCTACTTGATAAGTTAGTCGAAGAGACTCCTAGAGACTGGCACGAAGATAGACGTCAATTAAGTGAAGCACGAGAAGTTATGGTAGATGTAGCACAATATATAAATGAAGTTAAGCGTGATGCAGACACATTAGATATTATAAAGGATATAGAAGCATCAATAATTGATTGGGATGTACCTGAAGATGCACAATTAAAAGATTATGGACGTTTGTTACGAGATGGAGAACTTAAGGTATATATAGTATACATATTTTACATCTTTATAAATATATGATGAAACTAACGCATTCTAAGCTGGTTAAATCTTGACTGGTAGAACTCTCAGTACCGATGATCAGATTGTTTGTATACAGTGAATGAACATTTAAAGTATATACAGAGCAAGCAATTCTGCAAAAACGCGGAACCAGATTAGAATGTGTTAACATCATAAACTATCATTATAATTAAGAATAATTATTTAATCAAATTCTTTTAGGTGAAAGCTCATGGAGATCAAAGAATAAAAGCTCGTTATGCATTTGTTTTTGAGCAAATCATTCTAATTTGTAAAGCAGGAAGAGGTGATCAATATTGTTATAGAGACTTTTTACGTTTAGATGATTACAGACTTGAAGATCATACGGGAAGAAGAACTCTTGGTCGAGATTCGCGTTGGTCTTATCAATGGTTACTTGTGCATAAACAAGCTTATACTGCATACACTTTGTATGCGAGAACAGAAGAACAAAAACAAATGTGGATTAAAGCATTACAGGATGCGATGGATAATGTCAATCCTGCTGCATGTCGTAGTACTAATCATAAATTTAAACTTACAACATTTGATACTGCACGTAGTTGTCAGCGCTGTGGTAGATTCCTTAAAGGCTGTATATTTCAGGTAATAATATTTCATTTGTCTAAAAAATATATTACTTCTATATTATTAATATTATATTTTGTTATCTTAACAGTTGTGCTTTTTTATATAGGGTTACAGATGTGAAGTGTGTCATCTAGCTGTACATAAACAATGTATTGCCCATTCAGGGCGTTGTATGCCAATACCACCACCACCTCCACCACCACCACCCTTGCCTTGTGAAAGAGCACTTTCTGCTAAACTTTGGTTTGTTGGAGAAATGGGACGAGATACGGCATATAATAAACTTGAACCCCGTGAGAATGGTACATATATGCTAAGAATAAGACCACCTGGTCAACCTCGACTCCAGCATGAAACTAATTATGCATTAAGTATTAAGTAAGTTTCGAATTTATTTTATCTTTTATTATGAGCATATATAAATTAAGATATGCATAACATTCATTTTATTTTCTAGGGCCGATGGTGCAGTAAAACACATTAAAATATTCAAACGTGATGTTGATGGTGCAGATGTAGATCTCTATTATCTCAGTGAGTCTAGATTTTTTAAAAGTGTGGTCGAACTTGTAGAATATTATGAACGCGCCTCATTAGCAGAGAATTTTGAAAATCTTGATCAACGATTGTTATGGCCTTTTCGTCGAGTATTAGCCAAAGCACTGTTCGATTTTCACGGTAGTGAACGTAATCAATTGAGTCTTCGACGTGGATGCAGAGTTGTTGTCTTAAGTAAAGAAGGTGATGCCAAAGGATGGTGGAAAGGAAAGATAGGTGATCAAGTAGGATTTTTTCCTAAAGAATATGTCGAAGAAGAATAACAGAAATGCGATATATATAATAATGATTCTTATCTGTGTCGCAATTAATCTTATCGTGCAATCATAAATTGAATGAAATATATTTTGAAGAGATAGATAAAAAAAAGGAATAAAAAACAAAAAAAAAAAGAAAAGAAAAGAACAAAGAAAAAGCATAAAATGAAATATTGTACCATGACATTTACATCGTGCATAGCACCTTGTAAAGTAATATTTTCGAACTTATTGGATAATCATTGTCTTTTAATATTTGGTTTTATCTTCGATCTACAATCAAGCGATCAATTAATTTACATATGAAGATATTACACACGTATGTACATAGGGGTGATATATTCTAATGTATTCGTTTTTCTAGAATACTTTTCTCCTTTTTAGACTATGACGCGTAACTGTTTGCGGTTTGCATGTGATTTACCGAGATCAGCAGGAGGAAAGAGATTTAGATATAATAGCTTCTTTTTAACTGTTCTTTTATTCTCTTACTAATAGTCTCTTCAATGCTTTTATTCGCTTATTTTCTTTTTTTTTTTGGATCATACTTTATTGTTATTCACTTTTGGTATAGAGATGAATTCAATTTTGTTCTTTTAAATTAAACAAATTTTATTTTTCTCAGCTATTTTATTGATTTTCTATCTCTTGTAAAACTATTGCTCTTATGATTATTCTTCTTAATGAATTTTGGTGTTCTTCTTCTACCTCTCTTTTATAATTCTGTTTGAACTTAATTTTTCTCTCATGTTAGTTTTATATTAACTAATGCACATATATTTATTGGTATTCTGGCTTTATCTTTTTTTCCTTGTCCTCCTGTCGACCCAACCGTCCTACTCATAATACCTTTGCTATTTTTTAAAGCTTTCTAAGATCCATCACAATAATATATGTAAAATAATTTTCCGATGGCCATATATCTTTTATTTTATTATTTTATCAGTTTCACTTGTGGAAAAGTAAAATGTAAAGCCAATTTCCGCTCTTAATCTTTTATTGTAAACAAATGAAAACAGACATTCCAATTTTTAATTTCTCACACGAAGAGCATTATAATTTCAGTATAAATATTTAACGATGTATGTATATATCAATAGATTATAATTTGATTTAGAACAGAAAGACTCAAAAAGAAAAGAAGAATATCTCAATAAAATATTGTATACAGTATAGATAATAGGTGTAAAAGAATTTTGTGGTGCCTTAGCGAATTTTTACATCCGCAATCCATGAAATAAAAGAGTTGTTCTCAAACGAGAAATATAACAAAATAGTCACTGATTGAAACGTTCTATGTATGTATGTATGCATATATGCAAATGCATAGCTTCATGTTTAGTTAATCCTATCACGTATATATCAGATTTTATAATACGTATTATAATTACTAATTTTATCTCTTCATAGGATCCTTTTCATTAATATTAGAAGAAGAAAAAAACAAAAAAGAAATACAAAAATTTATATCTATATGTGAAAAAAGAGAGAAGTTATTTCTTGAAATTAAACGTTCATGAAATTAGATATTTGAATGAAAAATAATGAAATTTTATGAACATTTATATTTTTTCAAGACAATTCGTTTTAGCATTTTCTTTCTTTTTAAGCTGTAATTGTCAATTATTAATTGTACATATTGTGTTCCCATACAGCTAATTAAAGCTTAACTACATGTGTATTCTGACATACATATGCAGTATTTAACATATACTTTATTGTAGGAAAGAAATTAGCTGTAATATTTTTTTAATGGTTAGACAAATTCTCGATCGTGCCAATAAGAATAATCAATAAAGTTTACATTTTATTGAGTTGTTATAAAAAATTCTTGACGTATCTGTTATTATCCTTATCATCTATATACACCAAATTAAGTATTTATTAGTTTCATATTAATATATATTTTGCATATTATATACATTATATTAAATATAATATAGATTTTGTCATGGTCGTACCATATGGTGGTTGTTACTCCTAAAGTACATCAGTATATCAAAATTGCAAATAAAACTCATACTAATGTTTATGAATTGAAAATTTATACTATGACATTATAAATTAAACAAGATTAAATTTTATCTAAAGAACTTTACAACATATTAGTTGACTGTGTGATATTATATACATATATATGTGATTATTCACATTGTGCGATGACGTCACACTCTGGTATTAAAGTGACCATAAAATTAAGTTACTCTGCTGGAAAACTTTCAAATAGTTTCAAGTGTATTGATAATAGAAGTGAAATAAGAGTATTTCTTTTTCTCAATATATATAAATTGCATTAGAATTATATAAATTAATGATCAAGATGTATTTATTGAGGTTATTTAAAAGAAAAGTCGATAAATAGATATTTTCTCATGAACACTTGTGTCATAAATAAGTAGCATAAAATATGGTGTGTGTATTTTCAAAGACGTTTAATATGACCTCAATATCATTTGCAATGGCGTTTAGTAAGACATCAATTCCATTTGCAATGATATTAAAGTGCAACATAACTTACTAATGACAACTTAGTTTAAGTTAACCATAATTTATACTTATTATCACTTCAATGATGCATTCATCATTCAAAATACTTTGATGTGTATACTTACATTAGATATAATGTATCCGAAGGTATATATATATGATAAATTGTATAATTATACTTTCATTTGTGGAAGTTCCTTGAAGAAGACGCAATGAGTTTTTTAATGCATATAGTACTATTTTTATGTTCAATTAATATAAAGTATAGTGTAGGTGTACAAAATAAATTAGGATGTAGAGACCATAAGAATAAGATTGTTGATTGGTACGTATTTTTATTTAATTTTGTTTCTAATTGAATCGTTAGACTTATTTTTGATTAAAAAGGATTTTGATAATTTTATTAATTACATTAGGTATGTGCTATATAAAATTCCAAAATTATCGCATAGCAGTAATCCTTTAATAAGAACTGGCTCCGCTTACATGTATATATCTAATAATACTGTAGACAAAGGATGGGAATTATCTACCAAAGATATAGGAGATAAAAATTCCATGCCTGGGAATACATTAGCTTCGCTCTACAATGATGTAAATATTTTAATAAGTAATTATTAATTTTATTTTTTGATATAAATAATAATGATATTTAGATATATTTAATAATAAATATTATTTATAGAAAATAGCTAACAATTTATTATGGATTTTATATAACGATGATCCACCAAATAGTTCAGTAGTTGGAAAATATGGTCATGCGAAAGGTGTAGTGGCCACTGATAAAGATCAAGGATTCTGGATGATACATAGTGTTCCAAATTTTCCACCAATGCCTAATGTAGGGACAAGCTCAAAACGTAGAATTAGAACTACTACATTGGCTGTAGATGATTTTTCATCTAATTCTGAGTATAGTTATCCATCATCAGGATATGTTCGTGGACAGAGTTTTTTATGCATTTCTCTTAAAGCAAATCAATTTAATACAGTTGGACGTCAATTAATGTACAATCAAATTATAGTTTATAGAAAGAATCTTCCAGCAAAACTAAGCAATCAATATCCTGATCTAACGAATGCCGCTAATCAGATACGTTTTAAAAATCCTCCGTACAGTAACAAAGAAATTATAAAGTCATCAACTTCTTTGGAATTTATTTCATTTGCTAAGTCTGACAAATGGCAACAGGGTATATATAAATACATTTATATATATATATGTATAATATATTATATATACATATATACATTTATATATATATATATACATACACCTAATTTTGTATTAACACGATAGATACGTTCCCGAAAAATACGTGTAAAAAAATATATTAAATCTATGGGAAAATAGAAGATTGACTCCAGTTTTATAAAATCAGCAAAAATAATACAATAAATCATGAGTTTTTATGTTAGGATCTTAAACATTTTATTTCATAAAGATTGCACATTTATCATACAAAGTAAATTATCATTTCAAAAGGAAAAAACATGTTATTAATTCATGAACACAAAAATTAGGCAAAATAATATGAGTTACGCATAAAAAGATTTTATTCATTGTCAAATTCTATTTCGCGTTTTTTCGCAAACGGCTGAATATATACGCCATGTTTAAAGGTACAATGAATATTCTTATGGACTACTATAAGTGTGCAAAATTTAAAAATAATCTCATTGACTGACTCCTTTTAACATGAGACATTTTGGTTACATTTGGCCCGGCCGACTTACGTCTCTGAGGCGATATTGTAGGCTAAGGGGTTGATAAAACAAAGGTTTTAAAGTTATAACTTACCATTTATTGACTTGTACGCAAAATTTATTCCTCGTCTCGAATGTCGCAGTTATAAAGATAAAAGTAAAGCAAAATTTACTTCTTAGAATTTTGGTCAATCGTGTTAAATCAAAATAAGTTGTGTAAAAAGAGAATTAATTTTTTTTTCCCAATTCGTGTAAAAGAAGTTCGTATAAAAACAGAATTAGGTGTATATATATANAGAATTAATTTTTTTTTCCCAATTCGTGTAAAAGAAGTTCGTATAAAAACAGAATTAGGTGTATATATATATATATATATTAATTGTTTCTTTTTTTATTTTTAAATTCTTTTCTTATTTATAATTTAATTTGTCTTGATTTAGATCTTTACAGCGACTTTGTAGCTCCACAATTGAAAAGTAGCTTATTTGTTGAGACGTATTTGAATGGACCAGGAAAATTAAACTCCAAATGCCAGGGTCTAGAGTAATTATTTATGTTTTTCTATTAAAATTTAATGATAGTTTGTGAAAAAAAATGATATATATTGAAATTTATTAATTTTCAGGGTGCATAATATAAAATCAGTGAAACTACATACAGGAGATGTTCAGTTTACAAGTTCACAAGATCATTCTAAGTGGGTTGTTGCAATAGATAATAAAAATAATAAGTCCTGGGTTTGCGTTGGAGACATCAATAGAGCCGTAAATATATATATATATATATATATATATAAATCATAGTATTACATGTTTATAGATTAATAGTTAATCATATTTTTAAAAAAATGTATAATTTTTTGTAGGATACTCAGTATTATCGCGGTGGTGGCACAGTTTGTTTGAACTTGTTTCATCTTTGGAAAAATTACCGCGACTCCGTTAATGATGTAGAACCATGTCCTTTACATTAATAAAACTAAACCTTTGTTAAGATGATTTGAAAATATTGTAAAATATATAAAATATGTAGATCTTAAACTAATGTAAATCAAATGGCAATATTACTAACACTGTAATATACTAATACGCAATATATTAGGAAATAAAAATATCATCGAGAAGATTGTATTCTACCTTTCCAATCGTAATCAATGTAAATATCATTTTTAGATTAAACGTTACCTATCGAGTTATATGATAAAGTAGATCTCTAACAAATCTAAAATTTAAATATTTTTATATAATACTGTGTTAATTTATATGCTAGTTTAAGAAATTAGCTAGAATATAGCTAATATATGATAATTAATTATTATATATAAAATACTCATCATGTAAACAAAATCCATCAGTGTTTCTGATAAATTTCGTACGATGATTAAAACTTCTTTTTTTTTCTTATTTTGTATTTGTCCAATGAGGAAATGGATGGATTGGATGGATGCTCGTTATGCAAATTATATGAAACTCGAATGATGTACATTAGAGTATGTACGAGCTCTAAACCTGCATCGTATTCGTCGTATTCGAAGTTACGTGTATGTTCGCTTATTTCTACTACGAAATATGATGTGAAACGCTCTACGCTACTTTAATATTACCTAATATGTATTCATGTCATACATTCAAGAGAACGTCCAGTATTATCCTTTCATTTATAAACGAAGTTATGTTACGTTTTTCGGAAAGAGGAGAAATGGATACAATGATGAATTTTTCCTGGCTTATAATTTTTCCTTTGTATAATTGTGTACGCGAAAAAGATTTAATTATCGGATGCTCGCGTTTATTATTTGTGCCGGTAATTATGACAGTGGGGACTCTATAAGTCAAACAATTACATACAATTAATTTTATTATATTGCAGTTGTTTTTATAATCAAATAAATCATAAAATACATTTTTCTTTTTTTCAATTTTTTCACTTAATCCACCGTAATAATTTTCAACAAATTTATACATATCTATATATACGGTAACCCTTTTATATCGATGCGACACGAAACGTATTAATTAATCGTGGAATTGAGAAGGATTGAGTTTATACATGTGATACAAACCAAAAAAAAAGAAAAAAAAGAAAATACTTTTTATACGAGAATAGAAATGAATGAAATAAATTTACAGTTGTTGTGCTTTTTACTTATTCAAAAGATTAATTGAGAAAAAAGAATATAAAGCATTGTTAAGATAGATAAAATAAATGATCCGCTAGTGTTCATTGCGAATAGGAAAAGGATGCTGGGTCTCTCGGTATAATTATTGTTACGTAACAAAAGTAGTAAGGGAGCGAGTGAATTCAGTCGTGACCGTACCGCAGAATAATTCAAGTAGGAAGTAAGAAGAGAGGATGCATTGGGAGGTGGCAAAGGGTCGAAGAGGGTGAGAAAGCTGCAGCACTTCTCTCAGACAAAGCCTAACGAAGCTTCTATTTAGCAACAGTAGGCACTGCGAAGCCCAACTTCACCTCTATTGTACTCACTTGTCGGTGTGTAGTGAATTTCATCCATCAACGGAATTCTAAACTGACAATGAACAAATCTCTTATTTTTTTCTTTTTTTTTTTTATACACGCATGTATGTATTAGTATCTTAATAATTTTGTTGATCGTCATTAATCTCTTCAAAATCTCTGGCCATATATGCGGACATTTTGTTTAAATCTTATAGAGAAAAACATATTTTTACAAAGATTAAAATATTAAATTTGAAAAGAAATTCTCTTTAGAATTTAATCTCAGATAATATATAAAAATCATAATTTTTATTGAAAAAAAAAAAATTATTTTATATCCTTTATTTTTATCGTAAAAGAAAATTGAAAAAAAAAAGAAATACACAAATTTTCTTGATATTATTATAATTACAAAATCGGTTTTGAAGAATCTCAAACCAAGAGTAATAATATACCTTACTTTTATTTTTCTAATTAAATGAAATTAATCCATCTCGTCGTTAGATTTATTTTCATATATATATAAAAAAAGAAAAAGAGTTTACTTTAATATAAAAAAATGTATATGTATTATATATTTATTTTATTTTTTAAAGGAATGTGCAAATGTTTTTTTTTCATCTAAACGTAATCGGATACCGAAAGGAATTATTTTAATGTAATTCATATTAATAACTTCAATCTAAAGATTAGATAAGTTATATAAAAAAAAAAAGAGGTTGTTTATTGAGGAAGGAAGTAGAAAATATAAGAGAGAGAGAGAGAGAGAAAAAAATACTCTTAGGATGATATTTATATTCCCGCAAGGCATTTGTAAGTATTCGACATGTGGAAACACGATGCGACATTATCTTGCGTGCGATTCTATACTGCCAATGATGAATATAGGTATAGTACCGATGTTTATGTTAGCGAGTGTATTCCTGAGTGTACGCGTACAAGGAGATAGATATCCAATGTTCGGACATTGACATCATGACCATTATTTATTGCCCATGAGGCGCAACACAACGTGCCAAACATCCGTAACGGCTAGAGAATTCGAAAGACACTATGACGGAATACCTGTAACATACAACAGGTCGTTTATGTCCCATTGATAGTAGTAGAAAATAGGTATTTGATTGATAATCCTTTATAGGAAAGATATTTTTCTTTTTCATTTTTATATATATTTTTTTTTGATTTCTTTTTTTTTTTTTTTATTATCATTTATGTTAGAGAAAATTGTTTTCGCGTTGTGTGATAGATTGAAATTGAAAAGAAATATATCACCGATGGCGAACCCCCTTCTGCTCTTCTTCCCTCCTCCCCTCATCTACCAACGTATCCTTGTGACCTCACGGGTCTCCTTACGATCCTCTAGGGAAGTTTAAGTGTGCTGTAAATTTTGGAATAAGTTTCAAGTTTTGTAAATTGTTTTCAAATATATTGAGATTTTTAAATCTTTTCCAAAAAATTCTTCTCTTGCGAAATATTATAAAAGGATTATTTTGAAATTATATCTAAAAAAAATAGATTGATATAACATTTTTTTTTATTTATTTATATTTTTTCATTTTAAAAAATGTCTTATCGTATAAGAGTATCCTCGTTCGTACAATATAAAAATGTTTGATCATATAAGGATATACTTCCCCCTATTTATGTATTACTTTATAGAAATTTAATATTTATTTATGTAACATTGCTTAAACGAAAAAATGAGAAAAATTCTATCGTCTCTAAAGCATAACACAGTTCAATATTTTTAATTATAATTATATGTAATAAAATTTGACATCACTCTTATAATTTTCATTTTGCGTGCACGGTTTTTGTTTTTTTTTTTTTTGTTTTATTTCTTGCTACTATAAATCGTTTCTAAAATAAATACGGAATTTGTTTGAATAATTTGTCAACTATTCTCGGCTCAAATATTTGACTGGCAAATTGGTAAATAAAAGAATATTTTGTTATTTGATTTTTGTAACCAAACCTTGAAAAAAATTTCGCCATCGCTGTAATATATTTCGTGTTACGAAAATAAAAAAAGAAAAAAAGAAAATAAATAAAACGGTGGGAGAAAAAAAAAAGGAAGAAAAAAATGACGTAAAAGGTAAATAACTTCTTGACTCTTTCCAGTTTACGAAAGAAACTCGATAAAATTTTATTTCGAAACGTATGCAGATCTGGAACAAAAATTAAAGTTTAACTGTAAATGACGTTTCTTGTTGTTGCTACCGTTGTCAAGGGACTAACAATAAATAACCAAAAAAAATACAAAATATTGTCGAGAAGAAAGGAGAAGAAAAAAAAAAATAAAAGAAATATCAATTCATATACATACAAACTTCGATCGATTATATTTGCTTGTATAACTGTTCTCCTTCTTCTATATAAATATGACATGTGTATTTTTAAAAATATAAACAAATTCTAGAATAAGTATTTCTCGATATTTTATTTTCTAAAATTATTCGAGAAATACATTTCGATAGTCAGTCGAACAAATTTTTAATCAAAAGTAAATGTTCAGAAATACTTTTGAAAATTAATTACAATTATTTTTCTTCATTATTATTATTATTATTATTATTCTCGTTATTCCCTTATATGAGCAAGTATTTTAATCCTTTCAATAGTATCTACCCGTATCTACGTATAAAATGGAATTCAATAATTGTAAAAAAGGATAGTCGTCTTGTGTGTTTAATTCGATCGAAAAACAAATCACAAAATAATTATTATTGAAAATATTATTCATTGACGGGCTATCTCGTGTCATTTGTTATTATTTGATGATAAATCTTTATTGTATTTTGTAGGGGGAGAAAATCATGGACGAGAGGTAGAAAGGTAGGGGAAAGGGTGAAAGAGGAGGGGGTAGGAGAGGGGGTAGGGGATAAGGGGTAGACGTATAACCAATTTTACGATCGCAAAGCGTGCATAAAGCACGATCTCTACAAAGTGTATCTATTATAATTACAAAGCATGGGAAGTTGCGGTTGGATCGATTATTTTGTTAGTATAATATGACAATATTGATGGTCTTGTAATCACACGGGAGAATATAATATATATTTTATAAGCAGTGTGTCTGTGTGTGACGATGAAAACTGAAACACATACGATATAAAGACTAATCTTATTACCTTTTGTAGGAAACGAAGGGGGAGGAAGGAGGGGAATAAGGTTCTATGGAAAATATGAAAAAAAAAAAAAAGAAACATTTTTGTTTTACCTTTCCATTAAAAATACGAAGAAACTTTTTCATCGATACAATATGTAAAAAAAAAAAAAATAAAGAAAAGAACAAATTGTCGATACATTTTAAGCACGTTTTGTTGTAAAAGTTCGGAATTTGCGATATTTTAAAAAGCGTAATAGTGATCGTAACCGCGTTTTCAAAAGATTTTATAGGAATTGATCTTGGTTACCTTTTGAGGTAACAATGACGAAGTTTCGCTTATCGTGACGCGATTATATTTATATATATATATATATATATATAGAGAGAGAGAGAGAGAGAGAGAAGAGAGTAACGTTGAAACGTCGAAGCGAAATTTAGCTTTTCAAGTGAGTTTACTTCTCTACTAGTATAGGAAGGATGAACTAGTAACTTGCAGAGCTTTCTAGTAGTTTGCGAGTGAAACGGAAGAAGGAACGTTCGAAGCG